GCTGAATTAACAATGAATACCAATTAGATATTTATTTTAGTGTTTACATTATTGCAAAGCTTTTATTCCAGTACAATATTAAGAATAAATAACTGATAACTATTGGTTATATTTATCATTCGATATACACAACACAAATCATATTTATTGAAAGGAATTTGTCGGCAATTTATTTCATTGTTATATTATGTTGATTTTTTTTGTAAATTGGCTATAGACTGTAATATCTGAGTTTGTATTTTCTTTAAACAACACTTTGTGAATAAAACGATGGTGTATTTCGTTCATCTTATTCTGTAGATACTTTAAAACGGAATGAGCACAATAAATTGCAAGGCTTATCTTCTCATCAGTTGTAAACGGCCTAAATTTTAGTTACAAATAAACTTTTAACATGCTTTATTGAATAATGTGTGAGTGGAAATTAAAGCATGAGAAACGTTATTTCATTGATATCTGTAAAAATTGTTATCACATGAAAAAGGGAGTTATAATTAATAATGTTGGTAATTGTAATATTTTGGGGTAAATAATTATCTTTTTGATACTGTACCAGTCGGTCATGCGCAACGTAGATCCTGGCACACGTACGTCGGTTCAGGTTGTCACACTATACCAGCATAGGTCGATCCCAAGTTACTGGGAACATCGACAGTACTAGTGATAGTAGAAAAGATTAGGTGATTCGAGAAAAAATGGATTCCTGAAATAGAAATGTATAAGATATTCTTAAAACTGCTCACGGTAGTCGTACAGGTCCGAACCAGCTAGTCTCCAATTACGTACACAGCTCAGTTCAGTAGTCAATGACTTCATGGTCTAATGTCACTTTTTGGTTTAGCCACTCCTATATACCTTCCAACTTACTCTTACACCAACAAACATTGCTTGTCGAGTTTGGTGGTGGTTAGGTATATGTAATACATGTCCCAACCATCTAAGCTTATAAAGACTAACCACCTTACCATCCGATTTGACATGTTTTCTCAGTACCTTATGCTTAATCTCAACGTTGCTGACCGGATGGTCCCACAGTGCTCTAATGATGTTTGAAAGCACCTGTGATTAGGTACTAGTAACGAACGAATATCCTCTGTCTTTAAAGTGCACATTTGATATCCATAAGGTAGAACAGCAAATTATAAAGCAGTATACTCTTTCTTTTGGTTGGCAGACTAAAATCTTACGTACACTACAAGTGTCCTGTGTTCGCGATAGTCACTTAAGTTTTCTGTATTCCTATGAAGATTTTATTAGACACCGAATGTGGTTAGACTTCCAACATAGGTGAAGTAATTGACCGTGTCAACCACTTCACTATCTTTCATTAGTCTAATAATTGATACACACCTAACCCGAAGCTCGTTATATAACTAAACTAATTATATCGACATATAACTAATACTTTTTTTTTCGTTTTTTTTTCTAGTTTAACTAACACAACTGAATCTTCCATGGTTGATGAGTCTCATATATATATATATATATATATATATATATATATATATATATATATATTATTGAGCAGTAGCCAGAATAATTATTTCCATTCGGACCGTTTTTATTCTATGTTACCTATTTATCTATTTTATAAGATTTGTATTTATTTGTTTGTAGCTTGTCTACTCTTATTTTGTCAATAAAATAATTCGAAAGACCATTTAGAATGGACATTTTTTTAAGGGAAACCCTGAAAAACTTACTCCTTTACATTAGTTTCTTCTAAAAATATGTTGTGAATTTATGTTAGATTTTTGATACGATCTAGACATTATGTTTATAGTTATCTAATTGTTATGAATTCAATATTTGGGGACCATGAATTATATTACATTTTATCCATATTCGTTTAGTTCTTATTCTTCTCCAAATTTTGGAAATATTATTAATTTAAAAATAACCATTGAACAGTAAAATGTTATTCTGTGTCTTTTGGTCTTCGTATTTTAAATGTTAGTTTTTATTTGTAAATCGGTCATTTTAAATAGAAGTACATTTGAATAATTTGTTATTATATCTTGTGTATCTATTTACAAGGATATAAGTATGATTCTACTTTTTTTCAGTTACAATCAGTACACAAATGAATTGTATCATCACACTGAACTGATACAAGTTCAACAGTAAATATGAATTTTAGCAGAAACTTTCTTAGAAAGTAGACATTACAGTTTATCGACAGCACCTGATCTTAATGAAGCACGTGTTTGAAAATTGACTTAAAATTCATTTTTAGATTTAAGATCTTTACTTAATTTATCAAGAAATATATATATATATATATATATATAACATTGCTAGCAAATGGTTACAGAATTCCATCCATTAAGCTTGTTGGTTATCACAATTTAGTTTGAACAAACTTCGACTTCAGAATATTTGGTGTAGTTAGTGCTCTATTCTTTGTTTTATCTTCATAGAAGAACCTTGTAACCAGTTCATATGTCCGAGTCATTGAGGCTGACATGATAATTTCTAAAAGATTGAAAATTTGGTTGGCGTCACATAAATGATTCGGCTCAAAGCTAAGCGCATAAATCTGTACTTGGTAAACGAGTTGCATTTTTATTTCATTTGTAAAAGCCAGAGAAGTAACAAGTTCCGTTTTGAAGACGTAATTGGTGCCTAGTAACATTATTGGTTAAAAGAAGAATTAAAACAATTTAGCGATGATGGTACTCTTGGTCTACATAAACTGTATGTTGTACAAAGGTGGCCACTTTTTCGTACTGAAAGACCAGTTTCTCAAATCGGATCGATTGACTGAATTAAGACTTTTCTGCAGATATTTCATAAAGGGTGGTCGTTTACTTAAGAGCAACATATTTAACATTTGACTTTACTCTCAAATTCATCTTAATACCTCCTGCATATTATTTGTCTTCTTGTATTTTCACTCAACAAGTTTCCTATGTCCTTGATATTTCTACCTATGTAGCAGACACTATTCATTTAGGTTTAGAGAATAACACTCCAAAATTAGCATCATGAGCCTCTCAATTTGACACAGTGTAAACAATACTTCGCACTTAACAAAACTGTAGGATTCTAGATCGTTCTGTTGTAAGCAGCCGTAGCTGCTACCTTGACGTGGTGGTCGGGATTGCCTACGTAATGACCCAACCGGGCTATATTGGCTGGAACATATGTCCTTAAAAGTCTTACCATGCCAGGCAGGTCGGTTGGAGAACGGTAAGACTGAAAGCAGCAACTCAAGTTCTGAGAGCGAAGTCGTACTGCTGACTGTAAGGGGGGTGACAGCAGTAAGGTGTTTTCTTTGGACAACCAGCATCTGCAGCGATGCTGTCTTCCCACAAGGAAGGAAGGGGTTAGAAAAGGTCGACTTTAGAAATGTCACACCTTACCTCACGGATTTCCGTCTCTGGCGGTAAGGCCTTCCGAAGAACGGAGGTAACACGTTAAAAACCTCTCACGAAAAGGCCATGCGTGACCAGCCTCAAGTAGTTGTCCTTTGGGCTCTGGGATCACGCTCCCTGGTCGTTAAAACCACTACTAATCCAACCTCCTTTTCAGGTTCCTCAATAAATACCCTTCTACGCTGTGGGAAGCCGGGAAGTGATATCGGCCCTCATACCCGTAACAGCACACGAGACCAAGTTGGTCACTATCAAATTCTTCCTATACTTCTTAATAACTCCTATCTCCACTACTAACCCTTCTCACGTTCATTTATCACCTCGTTCATCTAATGCAAACAATTCGAGTACGTGGAACCTTATTCCTGGTCTCCTGAAACCACTACATATAGGAGCTTAGTGTCACACAATGATTGCTATTTCCCTATCAAGTGAAAATCAAACGATCTGTTATCGATTCAATTGACTTAACAGTATATTCGTGATATTGGTTTCAAGGGTGCAGAATGTGTCTGGTAGGTATGAATTTTCACTCAATGTTGTACTTAACAACTATGAATGAAGACGTTCTGTGTACTAGAATATTAACGATGAATATATGTGTCAATATCTGATCCCAGGATTTCCATGCTTATACAAATGATGTCAGTCAGAAAATAAAACTAAATTTTCCTCCGGTACCTTATTCAACGATAATATAACTCTCATCAGTCAAATGATTTAGAATTTTTATTTGGGCTACTCATAAGTAGTATTTTTTAAAGTGTTGATAATTCTGAAAATCAGTACTTTCTCATTAAGTTGGATACTTTCATGTTGTTGATAATATCAATTAATCACAAGGAAGTGTTTAGACAAAGACCAACTTCAGAACTTAACCTTTCACTATGTATTTTTTACTCATAAATAGCTGAATGTTTACATGTTTGTATACTGGACAGATCAAAATGAATATGTATTTGTATATTAAAATACAACAGATGAGTTTGTATTATGATCATTCATGGTGTTCATTTTATGCTTTGTTTTATCATATAAAGATTATGAATAATGAATTGTGATTAACTGATTGATTTGGTGAATGAGTGACTATAAATAGAATATACACATGTTATAGTTAGTATATTAAGAAAATAAACATTTACAACAAAAACAGAGAACAAGAAAAGAATGAATTGAGAAAAACAGTAAATTATGTATATTCATTTGTTTATTTTGGTCTTTTTTAGTTTTCTGTACTACTCACACTAAACTCATCAAAAAAGTTTATTTCTGATTATTCATGATAGTCTTCTAATTTCTTTCATGGAGTAAAATACCAACAACTTGATGAGTTTTTTTTAATTTGTTTTCAACATGTCGCAATTGATTGTAATCTCTCCTGTTGGGTTTAGGCATTTTAATAGTATCATGACGACTGTGATTGCTATTTTGTCACTGTTAGCAATGGATCCAATTTCGATACAGACATTTTTGTAATATAAGAATGGGAGAAAAGCATTTTTGGAATAGATGTGAAGAGAATCATAGAGGTAGGGAATTTAGTGTACGAAAGTGAAAACAAATACATAAAATGATTTTAAACCGTAAAATGATGCATTTATATGTGCATATTCATAGTTATTAATTACATGTGGATATGACCACTGTTTTACGGCATGTCTTACAGACAACTTTACAGCACCATTGAAATTTACAATCACATCTTTCCTGTTGAACAAATGTTTGCCGTTTAAATCCTCGACCACAGCATAAATAATGACAACTATTTAAACCTTGGGAATTTTCGTCACATTGACGTCCATATGTACCGATACTGCCGTACCGCGGGTCATGATGACAAAATGTTGGTGATTCACTTATATAAATTAAATCATTTTCTGTTGGTGATGGTAAAGATGATGGAGATAGTGATGTTGAACTAGTTAACGAATCTAAGGTATTTCGATTAACTCGTGATGACATTGCTGCTCCAGAAGACGATGATGCTCCAGATACTGACGATGATAATAAAGCGGGGTGCGAAAGTAAAAGCGCGTTTCCGTTTGATTCTTTATTTAACTGTTCTAAAGCTTTCATTGAAACCAAACGGTTTTGCATATAAGCGACCTGTATAGCTTCATGAAATCTTTCTTGTAGTTGTGCACCTAAATGTCGAAATTTCGGTAGCGATCTCCAGCATGTACGCATCTCACATGATCCACTTACACCATGACATTTACACTGAACTTCCATTTTATTGATAACCATCTAATTAAAAATTAATAAAAGAAAAATATTGTAAATGAAATTACACTTGGGAAAAATTAATGTTTATCGACTGAAGTAATGATGCTCTTTATCGCCTTTAACTGTTCTCATATCTTATTCTACATAGTTGCTTAAAATCACTAAGATCTATAGAATAACTGGATGATGAAGTGATTTTTCTACAACTGTGCAAAATAGGACTTTGAAAAGGAGAACCTGAGTGTTGGAAAACACATGAGAGAGGATAAAAACTGATGTCAGTTGAAGGCTTCATTCGCATCCAAAATTATGACAACAATTTATTAACTGAATACACTCATGCACGTACAAATTTTTCAGGGATTTGATCACTGGTGATCGAATACTGTACATAAGTGAAGTAATAGGAATATGACTTGATTTTACATTAGAATTATGCAACCGAATATTATACCAAGCAAATATTACAACGGAATTCATACAAGGAATGGTGAATGCTACACTGAGTGAATAGGACACCAAATCGATACAAAAATTGTGATACTAAATGAATACCATATATAAATATTACATTGAATTAAAGATAAAATATTTTACTGAACGGAAACATGAACTCGCTTTTAATCTTGTCATTACAATTTTAATTATTATTATTATTATCAATGAAAAATTTGAAATAAGCCATTATTCATTAATATTGAATACTTTGCTTCTTTTCTCCCAGTTTTTACAGAATATTATCAGCTTAGTCTTCAAACTTCTACTGCGTTTCTGAAAAGTGTACAAGTTACAAAAGGCCCAATCAGAGATATTGTGGTTGTTGGCAATATTCAGGAAAAAGAATGTACATTATTTTGATGTCGATTTCCTAGGCCGCTAACATTTAATTGACGATCACTCAATATTTATCGTCAGGATCGACCAAGAAGTAAGAAACGGAAACTTGTTGAAATACTTTGTGCTGAGAATTCTGTATTGTACGAAAAATATAATACTGAATAAAGCTAATAAAAATTTTTTTAATTCACGTTTACCAACTATTATCATTAACAGAAGGGGTTTGTGAAGATTTTAGAAATTTTACAAATTGAAATGATGAGTCAGTTGAAGCTAGACAACCATGGGGAACCTGGAAGCACTGGACGGCCGTTTCGTTCTAGTATGGGACTCCTCAGAAGTGCTCATCCACGATTAAAATCAAATATTTTGTTTGTTAATTATCATTATTGCCCATTATAATTGGCCTATTTGTCTTCAGATCTCTAATTACTTCATTAACTATTTACTATAATAATATGGAGTAGTTTTGGGGAGTGTTTTTGAAACTTTGTTTATAGCCAAATTTTGATGAAAATAATTAACTTTTCTATCATCTTATTGCGTACATGATAGGTATGTAATCTGTGTTGTTAAATAAAAACGATAGTATTTCCTTCCCTACCATTTATCGATGAACTAAAAACAACTATCCATTAAGTTATTAATCAGTCCTGATGATAAGTGAAACATTACTTGTATCCAAATGGTTTATATAATCCCCATAAAAATTATTATGTGATATACCCTCCCCTCAAGAAAAATAGTATAAATACTCTATTTCATAAATCGTATCTATTTAACGTGAAGCTTCCTTTTTTTACTTACGTATTTTATACAATACATCGAAGTCAGAATGTCAGGCAATAAAATTTATTCCAAGTAAGCACCCATCTAATTATTAACAAGTCAGTTCAATAGCATTTATGTTGAAGATTTCCTAGGTGGTGTTTAATTCTCATATAATTTTATATGTTTGTCTGTGTGTAAGGCAGAATAGTGAGTGTTCAATTGTGTTATAAAGGAACAAGGCAATATACATCCACATTTCATTGAACGAATTTGATTGTGAGAGGATAAATATTGGAAAAAGAAATTAACGAGAAAGAACACTTTTGACGCCTATTTTGGTGAAAATTCACAAACAAGTGTCAAAAAAACCTTGAATCTGGCGTAATTTTTTTACTACATTTGTAAAAAATATTTATTTCGCAACACAGATGATTACCAAAACAACCATATAATGTGTATGCAAATAGAATTTAGATGATGTGTATTGTGCGCATATGGTTATATTAAATGTATTGATATGATTAGTTAACCCCTAGATTAAAAATAATTTCCCACATTTATCATCATTTTCTAATATAACCATCATGATGATCATCCCTTTCTATATATATATATATATATATTCTACACTATCACTTAACTTTTAGACTTGGTATACTCTTTGTCAGTTACCTATACATATTACCCTAACCCACCCCCGTACATTAGTTATAACACACATTGGGTTATTTATTATATATGTTCAATTTCAATGATCATTAATCAAATCACCTAGTTTACTCATCTTATTACCATTGATCTTCGTTGAAGATATTAAAAACAAACAAACAATTATGTTATCATACATAATATTACTATGATTATTACTAGGATGAACATTAGAACCAATTTCTAGTAATAGTCAACTGACTGTATACACATCTAAGTAATATATATATATATATATATATATATATATATATATATATATCGTTAGAAGTAACATGATTTATTTGATAGTTAATGATAGTTAAGTTACTTAGTTAGCAGACAATATAAGAAAATGGAAGAGAAAAGTTGATGAACATTTCATGAAAGTAAGAGAGAGAAATTAAATTTCTAAAAGAGTTCTTTTCTAAAGAATAAATTGTTTATAGGTTAAGAAAAATTAATACCAAGTCTATGAGGAAAGAAACAAAATAAAAGAAAGGAAGGAAGCAAAAACAAAAATATATAGGAGTAGGTTAAGAGAGTAAAACAGTTACAGAGATAAAGAAACTGGTGTACAATAATCAGCTTGATACTTCTAATAGTTTCAAGGGGAATAGGATGTAACTAAGATTATGGTCAAGTGAAATAATGTTACCATCATTATTAATAATAACGTAAAAATGTAACTATATTAGTAGTGGCATGAACATTATTACATGTAATAGTGGTGATAATAGTCCTGTACGCATAGACAGTTATCATGATAAGAAAATCAAACACTTCATAAAATGTCATAGCATATAGAAAAGGTGAAAAAAATGTTCGAAATGTATTAGAATTAAAAGTAATCAACATGTTACTTTTTCCTCCTTATTTAATGCCAGTTATACGGTTTATACATTTTTCATCAACAGGAGAGTTTATAATTTAGTCGCGTAAGTATATAATAATAAACTAGAAATTAGAAAATTGGAAAGATGAAATGGATAATCATGTAGGCAAATTTGCTTAGAAAACAAGAGGGTGCTAAAAAGCACATAACAACTCTTTCATCACATTAGAAGACTTTTTAGAATTATGTACTCATAACTTCTCAAGGAATCAAGTTCAGAACCTGCTGATTAGTCTCAAAAACAATCTTCAGTTTTCCTTGGGGTTTAATGGTAATCCAAATAACGTCAGTTCGTGATGAGAATTCAATAAAGTATCTATACAACTACCTAGGTTAATTTGGTATTTATGAAAGGCAGAAATTAAACTAACTAGATATGATTTATTATAAAACCATTTTAGCTACACAACTACCTAAGTAACAGATATTTTGATAATAAGTTGCACATTAATTGGGTCTGGTTGACGGAACCCACATTCACACCATGATGATGGATGACATATAGAACTCGTATGATTTATTTGAGGAAACTAGCAAATGTAGATATGAGAAATTACAAAAATCATCGTCTAGATCGTAATGTATTTTATACAAATCTGGACTTAAATGTGGAATAACAGTTGACACTCCAAAGATAAATGTCTTCGAATCTCCAGAAAGAAAACCTCTGGTAGAAACTTTATTAATATTACCCTCACACCATACAATTATTTAGAAACCCTTATGAAAATTTATCGCATTAAATTAAGTTCACATATTTCTTTGGGAATCGATGTATATTGTCGTTTCTTTTGCACATATTCTGACTGGTCAGAACCAGTGGGTTGAAAATACTATAATTGGATACTTAAACATTATTAGCAGTTGGAGCTGAAGAAAGGTATATTTCTTTTCTTTGTTTTCAAAAGGTATGTCTCTTGAATTTGATACACACTATGCCTCAGATATTTATTATTAGTAGTTGACTAATTGCCAGAACTGTGGTCTCTAATACATTGGAAGTATGAGGATTAATTGTCAAATATACAAACTTCAAATTGATTCTAGATATTCTGTTTATTGTTATACTCAAAATCACTAATACAAGTTTGATTTGAAGATGATTTTTATATACGTTTACTATTAAATTTTTCACTGTGCAATTAGATTTGTGACTAACCTCTTTGAAATTTTAACAGAAAGAATGTTTATTTCAATGGTTAAGATAATGAGTCAGTTGAAGCTAGACCACCATGGAAAACCTGGGAGCACTGGACGGCCGTTTCGTCAAACTGTAGGACTCCTCAGAAGTGTGCACCCACGCCCTCTCCCCCTCCGAGATTCGAACCCAGGACCTACTGGTTTCGCGCGTGAGCACCTAACCACTAGACCACTGAGCCGGCACCCGACGGTGTTAATGTCTAATTATGAATTGAATGTTGACATAGACATGTTTCACTTACAGAGAGAGGACAATAAATACCTTTCAAATTTTATTTGATATCCCTAAATAATAGTAATACAAATAATAATTCGTATATTAAATTTAGTCCACTTGTTTCTAATAGATTGGAATAAACACCAAAATAATGCACATTTCATAAGATAACTTTAATTATCCTGGTATGTAGATAGGTTAAATAATTCCTACTTGCCAACAGTGTGAATTACTATAATCGGAATCCCGGTATCTGACATTTATGTAGACAGTTAAGGAAGACCTACGTGAAAAAGTGTCTATATTGATAGATATATAGTTCTTAATGTGGATATGTTTACCGTAGTTGCATTGAAATTGATAGTTTCTTGAGTCGTTTATTACTGAGATGAACTTATTAATCGTGCAACCTTAAAAAATCGATAAAATATCATGATTTTGAATACATTATCAAAGCTAAGTATAGTAGATTATGGTTCTACATTGTTTAACTTAATGGCCAGGATATCTTGCTTATTCGATCGAATATGGTCGTTTATGTTGACTGGGAATAAAAACTGTTGATTGTCAGGTGAACACTAAATATTTTGAACTGTATACGACAATTCTAAATATAAACTTACATGTCTTCCTACATAGTTATTATGTAAATTGGTTAGGCCTAATTTCGGATTACGCTTCAACCTGTTGCGTTCACGCACGTCGAGAAATTGTCTTGAAAATTCTGCTCCGAAATATATATTGTCTGAACAGCCGGACCATTCAAAATTCGGCTCTCTAGGATGATCATATATTGTCCTGTCACATCCACAATTATCATGTAAACCACTACTACATGCTTTAGTGACTGCATGTGACACACCAGCCGATGTGACAGCCAAAACATAAGCAGACTCCCTTGTACCTACGAAAAAAATCGAAAAAAGATAATATATTTTTAAGAGGAATTTAACACGAATATAAGCGGATAAACATATAAAAGTGGGATAACGAATTACGAAAGACAATATCATGAATCAGTAATTCATAGGTCGAAATCTCGATTACTCGACTTTGTTTTGAATCACTGTGTAAAACTATTCGATCCCTCTAAGTGGCAAATAAACTATAGAACTCTAGTAAATATGAATAACATGTGAATTTATTTATTCAGACTGTTATCTTGTAGAAAGAATCATACGATATTAATTTCGTTCAGTTGACTAAATGTTCCATTTCTGTTTTACTATGACTCTCATAGTCATCCGCTCAAGATAGTTAAGTTGCAATTCAGTAAAATTCCTAGAATTCCAAAATTCCCGGTGAACTGGTGTATTATTGTATTTGTTGTATTACATTCAGTATTTCATATATTTTATAGAAAATAATCATATTCAGTTAAATTTCTAGAAAATATATAATTGTAAAACTCTTTTATGGTTAGTATTAATCTATAAACAAATATTTATTCTTTAATCGTTCAGTTAACTGAATGTAGTCAAAATATGTTGGTCAAATGGTGACAAAGCTCTTGCCAGTCTGTTTCATAATGTTTTCAATAGGTAGTTCGGAATTATAATTTAAACAATCATATATTATTCGGTAAGAATAGATCATGTGTGATTGTAAATAAATTAACTTCAGTATAGTGATATTTAGGATTCTTATATATGCAATAAACTGACGTACTAAAATGTATGTATATTTAAAATTGCATTTTACCAGGCAGTTTTATTGATGAAAAAATCCCTCACTTCCCTGTTATGGACATTTTTATGAATGTTTTTTATTGGCAAACATGTTTGATATTCCGCTAATATATGGTTCACTAGTCTACTATCTATGTTTAGAACAAAAACACAGATTGACGCACTGTTCCATGTTTGTTAGATGATTGAATGAAGTTGACGGAAAGCTCTGAATGTAGATTTTGGGCTAGTTGGTATTTCTTCTGAAGCCGTATCTGAAATTTTGAGGAAATTTATGCTACTTGTGAGATTCAGACCTACATCATCCAGTATCGCGGTCAGAACATGTACCGCTAGGCCATTCGAGCCTCAACCGACCTTCTATATGATTGTGACACCGGGTAAAGAGTATCTAAACTCAACAGCGGGTATCATTTTTGTGAAAATTACAGATATGTGTTTTGTAAAAAAGTTTTAAAAGGAACAAAACACAGTCTGTGGAGCTTCCTGGTAATTTATTTTCATGACTTTGGATCATACTAGGTTCATATATACATACTGGTATCTTCAATAAATGAACTGTGGTAGTCTTGGTGATAATCAGAAGAATTATACAGATAACCAAGTGGTAATCTCTCATATTTCGGGAGAAGAATACGAAATAAACTGGATCTACTTACGCCTTGTGAAATTTACTTTTGTCGCGCAGGTGAAAATTAGTGGTCAGAACAATTCTTTACTATCATCTGGACTAGAAAATTGTCGTATTTTCTCTTGTAATACTTTGACTATTTGATGGAAAATAGATTTTTACCATTTAAGCTTGATCTTTTTAATAGGCACATACTCATTATAGTGTATAATGTCTAAAAGTTTGGATGATTAGATACCTCAAATATTTTATAAAATTTTGGGATTCATACATGTAAAGTTCATTTTTTTACAAATACAGTCCATCCCACTGAATAATCGTCCACCCTAGTTGAAACTTATTATCGATGTAGTGTAAGTATTAGTGATTTACAACACAAACTCATTTAACTATTCTGATATCAACCGACTCTCTCTCTCTCTCTCTGTTTTAACTGAACATATGGAAGTGATATATGTTATTTCTACTTTACTACCAATACCACATCGAATTACGTATCAGTCTACTAGTCATGTGTTAAATCTTCTGTAATTTAAATCACCTGGTTTGAAATATATCCAACTGGAAATGTATGAATAAGATATTTGCCTTTCTTTTATACTACCAGATGTTTTAAACTGGTCAACATATTAGTGGACATAAGAGCTATTTTTGCCCAAAGGTAATAATAAGATAGGTAGGCAAATAATTACCTAGAATAATGTTGTAAATAATCTGGATAAGTTAATAAGATATAACGGAATCCGTCTTCAACCAATAGGCCACAGTTTTGGGTCTTATTCCATTTAAAGCTTCCAAACAATATTTCTAGGGTGGAATATTTTGTGTTATTTGGAATTGTTATCTTCAAACTACTAATTCAATATGCAGTTGGAATAATTTTTATTGTACAGCCTTATGTTATGTGGTTATATTTTTCTGTCAAAGTCTAGAGATTTGTACAACACTGACTTTGATCACTGTAAAACTCATAACTTCTCCATGTTGAATAATGATCATCTTATTTTTAAATACATTTTTCATAATTAATCTAACAGATCCATTTACTTGCTCACTAAGCAAGCTAAATTTGCACGTAACATAATCCAGCAATTCTTATTTAAAAGTCTGTTCTTAATAATGTCAACCTAATGTTAAAGCTGTAGCAGATTAGTTCAACGTCTAACGCATTTAGTGGAATTCCTTATGCATAAGGCGGTATTGATTTATTCTAAGATTTTTCAACAATCTCTAATAGAAAATCTATTCACCTTTAGTGTAGAAAGCTATGTGGTTATGTGTTATCTAAAAATGAATAGCTCAGTACTGATGTCATGGTTCATTGAAGCATCAGTTATTGCAATGTTTTACTTAGTGGCTAATATAAAGCGTTTTCAGCTATGTTACAATGACAATTTAAAATATTTGTTATTGACTTGAACAAAGACATGGAGTTTGTTTTATGAAATTCTATCAGGACTAGTGACTTGAAAATATAACACATTTTACTACCAAATAGTCCATTAGTGCAAGAATCCTAGTATTATAGAAAATCAGTCGTTATCTGAATAGCTTACCATTATTGTCACTGAATAGGACACTATGACAAAGGCTAAAATCCTACAGGTAACTTCAGTTCTTCCATGTTTGCAAATGTATCTTGGTGACGAGTGGCAGTTATTATGAAGCTTAGTCTTAGTGATTGCATTTCAAGACACTGAAGAAACTGGTGATGTACAATTAATGCTGTCATATAAAAGTGTTGCTAAAATAAGTAAATTAATTTTTTTATGTTTGTGAGATATTTTATTAAATTAAAAATTTCCGCTAAACTAGAAATCTTATTTCAATAGTTTGACGTCAACTAATTTTTGCTGATGGTAGCAAGTTTTTCAAATGAAACGAAAGTCATTTAAAAAGGGTGATGGTTTTATGGTCAATGGACTACTATCTAAATTCAGATAGCATGTTCGAAAGTCGTTATATCTACTATGGTTTCAATGGCCAAAGAGTATCAATAATCATCATATAGAGTATATAACTCGTAGCTGATTAAATGAACCCGAACTTGGTCAACGAGTAACAACCAAGTATTTTAATTCGACTTGTTCATTCGAAATCTTTAAGATTGTAGCACTGTTCCGATGGGAAATAAATTTACTCTCCGATATTTTTTCATTCTATTTATGAATATTCAATGAATGCCAGTTGGTTGAAGGTAATTTATAGAGTCATTGATAACCTTATTGTTAATTATTTGTCTTATAAAAATACTTATATTGAGTAAATGTTTGTGTGTTTGATAACCTTACTGTAAATTGCTTGAAAATTTTGTAAATATTCAACAAAATTAACAGCGTTAACACTCTTCGTCGATGGATAATTTTCCAGTTATTCAAATATACCATAACAGCCCACAAAATAAAACAACTATTAGTTAGTATGCCATGAACAGTTCGATAACATATACATACATCTTATAAGTAAATAGACAGTATTCATATGGATTATTAAGTCTTCCTGTCTAGACTATTTTTTAAGTTATAATTCATATCTCTGTATATTCTGTCAGATAAGGCGGATTAGTGTTAATTTGTTGTTCAGTAAAATAAATGGGCATTAGATGGACCCCAGTATCCATAATGATTCTTTGTTTTAATTAAATAGTGTTTTTGTAATAAAGCTGAAGGATTAAAGGGATTACTCAGTGATATAAAGATAATATGCTCGGTGCGAAACCTGAAGGTTCTAAGTGTTATCTCTGAAGTAATCATGGATGTGCACTCCTGAGAAATTCCTTACCATGAAGAAACACTTGTTTCTCTAACGGTTTACTAGATAAAATCAGTCATTTTATGCAAATGTCAAAGCCTCTATCCCATCAATGGCTGTTAAGTAAATATAGTTTCCCCTTATCATTAATATTATTTAAAATGCTCGAAGTATACAAAACGATCTTTTTAAATCAATTAGTAAAGAGTACGAACAGGATTCAAGCTTTTTAAGTACAGCAAGACAGCATAAAGCAGTTTTATAATTGTACATCCAATACTAGGATTCTCCAGTAATCTACTACCTACATTTAAAATTTATATTCCCAACAGTGATAAATTTACGATAAGACAAGATCATCGTCCCAATCGATTTTCATCCTGAGTTGATTTGTATGTACTTCCAAAGAGGCTAGAAGTAGGTTAAAAACAATTATCCCGTATTCCATTGATTTTTACAGTTTACCTACTCAATACAATCCATAATTAAGTATAATCAACCTCTCGGTTAAATCATGATTTTTTTTCTTTCTAAATAATATAAAAACAATTGGTTGTATACTCGATCAATACTACAAATTTTACAGTATAACTTTATTTAGCTCATAGTAACTAACGTGTATGACAAAATTTCGTTTAGTTTTCCTCTGAAATAAAGTTATTAAAATGTATAATTGCAGGTAACCAATATTCAATTAACTTGAATAATCAGAAGGGGTTTTGTGGAGATTTTAGTAATTTCAGTAGTTGAAACCATTAGTCAATTGAGGCTAGACCACCATGGAAAACCTGGAATCATTGGACGACCGTTTCGTCCTAGTATCCGACTCCTCCA